AAAAGCGAGGTTGCGCTGGCTTCGCATGTGTACGGTGACATGGAGGCGAATCTGCTGCTCCCCATAGGGAAGACAAAGTATGGAGATGTGGGGAGACGGGCGGAAACTGGGGAAGCACTCAATGTGGACATCGATGCCACCTGTGTCGTGCCGAACGCAGCAATCATTCACGACTGAACGGACAAACATGAACCATACTTGGAGCGAGTTGCTCCAGTACGATCGAGCATCAAGTATCACATTCTCTGGGTCTCTTTTGCGGTCACCTGGCTGTCAAAGGCAATCTGTCGTATCAAGTCCACCGACCCCCACCTGCCCTGGGCGACAGAGCATGTGAGATGGTTGACTGTGCCCCTTCCTCTATTCCCCCTCCCCGGTGGTCCAAAACCCCGTTTGAAAAGGGGCAGAGCCCGCCAGCGCACTTCCCAAGCCTCAGTGCCAGGCCGTAGAGGCCCAACATGACTCACCAGGCCCTCGAGGTATCGAGTGTCGCCCACCAAGTCCGCACAAGATGGCCTCCACGGTGGCCCTAGCTGGTTCTAACATTCGCCTCTCACCCTTCAGACGGGCATCAGCAGCCTTGAGATGGCCCCAAGGTGGCCCAAGGGATCCCAAAGATGCCGAACAGGATCTCAACATAGCCCCAACTGACCACAGGAGGGCCCCAAAAGAGTGCCAAGAAGACCTCGACAGGCTTCAGGAGTAATCCGAAGCAGTCTCCAAGGAGCTACGAAAAGGCCAACAAAATCCAACAGGGCCCCCCAAAAGGCCCATGAGCACTCCAGGGCCCAAAGAGATCTCAAGAATGATCTCGAAGGAGCTCGATAGCGCCCATGTGATCTCATAAGTTGTGAGTTGTCCACGATCGTGCGACATCTCAAGGCCCAGAGCAGAATTCAAGTTTGATCACCACCTGACATTGCTTCCTCAAACCATCTGGGCTTCTCCAGACCTGCACCTTTACACCATCCTTCATTTTTAACTGGCCAATATTTGAAAAGAGACGCGCAAGTAATTGTCTGTTCTAGAATAATGACCCAGTGCCACCCAGAAACAACTACGTTTTCCAGCCCGCACAGCCTAACCCACACAAAACACCGGACAACAATCACAAAGTCATGATAGCATAATCTTGGTGTATGTTTGTGATGCCTGTCATTACTGTGTGACCTTGATGTGCGTTATTGATGTGTAATCTTCATGTCTGTTCAAGTGTCGGTGGATGGCGTGACATCGTGACGCCTGGACGGTCACCCGGGATTGTTGGATTGTTTGGGCCTGGCAGCCGCGGCAGGGCTGGCGGGCTGGGTGTTCTAGTAATCTAGCACCCCAAGAAGCTCTAAAGAGGTTTCCAAAAGAGCTCCAAGACGGCCCAGGAGGGCCACCCAAAACAATCCAGGGGGGGCCCAAAACACAACCAAGAGGACACCATGAGGGGCTTCAGACGGCCCAAAAAGGGGCGCCAAAATCTATACACATCCACTGCTCCCTGGCCAAGCCCATCCTGAACCCAGCAGCGGCGTATACGCCGCGTCCTCCTGGCTTGGCCAGGAGGGCGTATGCACAGCTCCTGGGTTCAGGATGGGCCTGGCCAGGGAGCAGTGGATATGTATGGTCCAGGGTCTGCCCTCCCCCCCCCACCAGATGACCCCCCCCCTGTGGTGTTCTGTGGTGTGGTGTGGTGGTTTGCGCACGTGCGTGCCTGCGTACATGCGTGTCCACCCGCCCCCCCCTGTGGGTGTGGCATGGTGTGGTGTTGTGGTGGTTTGCGCGCGTGCGTGCGTACGTGCGTGTCCCACCGCCCCCCCCTGTGGGTGTGGCGTGGTGTGGTGGTGTGCTGTGGTGTGGTGGTTTGCGCACGTGCGTGCGTGTCCCCCCCTTAGGGTGTGGTATGGTGTGCTGCGTGGTGGTTATGTGTGTGTGTGTGTGTGTGTCTGTGGGTGTGTGTGTGTGTGTGTGTGCCTGCGTGCGTGCGTGCGTGAGTGCGTACGTGCGCGTGAGCGCTTGCGTGCGTGTCTCCAGCGTAATCGTCAGCAAAGGCAGCGCCGTCATCGTCGTCGTCTTCGCTGTCGTCGTCGTCGCCGTCGTCATCGTCGTCGTCGCCGCCGTCGTCGTCGTCGACGCCGTCGTCGTAGTCGTCGTCGCTGCAGTCGTCGTCGTCGTTGTCGCCGTCTTCGCAGTCGTCGTCGCCGCAGCCGTCGTCGTCGTCGTCGTCTTCGCCGTCGTCTTCGCCGTCGTCGTCGCCGTCGTCGCCGCTGTCGTCGTCGTCGTTGCCGTCGTCATCGCCGCCGCCCTGGATCATGTATAGATTTCATCGCCCGACAAACAAAGCCCAAGTCGGCCCAAAAGAGCCCCAAAACGGCTTCAACAAAAAAAGCGCGACGGCCTCGAGGGGCCCAGACGGCCCAAGAGCCCAAAGGGGCTCGGAAAAGCCCCAAGTCAGCTCGCGATCATGGACCGCTGTTCGCACAATCACCACAATCGAACTTACTGTGCATCTATCATCGAACACCAAAGCCATCCGCAAAGGCAGAGAACAACGATGGTTCGCAAGAGGCGCCAACATTCCGACACCCTCTGTGTCCACAGTAGTGCTGGGCGTGTGGAACATTAGGCTGGCTGCTTGGCACTCCGAACCTCTCGACAAGCCTCTGGATGTGGGGTCCACAAGGCTTTGCGGTGCGTGGGTCCAGTTCGCAACTCAAACCGCCAAATACCTCCCGAAATGGCCAAAACAATTGCCAACATTGCCCAAGAGGCGCCCAACGCACCGCAAGACTGCCCAAAAACCCCGACACGATGCCAAGATGGCCAACCACGGGCCAACAGCAGCCGAGAAATTGCCCCGCGAGGCCTCCAAGGCGGCCCCTGACGCCCCAGACGACAGAAGCCTACGCAGAAGATGTTGGTCTCTCTTTGTTGTGCTATGCGTTTTGGTTTTCAGCCATGTCGGTCCAATGGGCTCCACGCTGGCCACATGGAGCTCAAAGATCGTCTCTCAGGGTGCTCCGAGACGGCGCATGACGGGCCCAAGGTGGCCCCAAGGCAACCCTAAAGTGCCTTTGGAGGGGCCCACGAATGCGCAAGAGAGATTCAAGATGGCACCAAGAGGCCCCAACACAACCAAGAGAAGCCCACGACTGCTCAAGAACGAGGGCCCGACAAAATGCCCCAACCTGCCCAGATCAATGCAACTGCGCTCCCTTGAGGAGCGGGTCAGTAGGATCAGGAGTAATAAGAGAACGCAGACGAGGGGGATGATTAGGAAAAGAGAGGAGGGACGAATAAGACAAGACAACGGAAGAAAGAGGGGGAAAGAAAGGACGGATACGAGTCTCTTGGCATGTGGCTTCACTGTGTTGGTGCATTATTCGGGCTTCTGGGCGCGTGCCAACTTAGTGTTTCCAGTACAGCATTGCGACGTGACTGGCCAATAACCCGACAAGAGCACCCAAGACATAATGGTAGACGAACGGTGGTAATGACTGTCGCAAGATACATGCTACAAGCGCTGTGCTCAATGCCACAATGTGCTTCGCGCGGATGGTCGCCCCCCCGCCTAGCAAGTCCGCACACGTACTCCACCTCTTCCTCCTCTTCCGTCTCCTCCCCTCGAGCCCTCCAGCTTCCATGCTGCACCTACGATAACTAGTCCTGTTCAGCCAGCGACTCCCGAGTCTTCGGCCGGCCAAAAGCAGAACCCAATGAGAACCCACTCTCCTCTGCCCCCCCCTGCCGCCCCTCCTCCTGAGGTTCCCGTCGGCTGGGCGGTAGTCATGCTGTAACTGTTACAGGCTGGTGCTGCCGATTGGCTCGAATTCACTGCTGACTGCTTGTTCCTTCTGCTTCTGTCTTCCCCCCTCCCCAGGGTCCGCTCTTCTCGAATGTAAGACAACTTATCGTTCGCCTCACGCCGCGGCCGCGACGCCGCGGCACCCGCGAGGGCCGAACGAGGGGCGCGTGTGCGGCGGTGCGGCGGACACCACTCCAGCGCGCCTCAACCCTAGACACGCGGCCTCCTCGTCGCCTCCCCGGAATGGGGAGGAGGAGAGATGAGCTGAAACCCCTGAGAAAGGGCGGGGAAGAATACGAGGAAAGGAAAAGACGAGGTTGGTGAGGGTCATGGGGACACAGGAGTGGCGCAATAGCACTGCTACCACTACTGGTCCCAAAGCCCATGTGCTAATCCTGGTATTCGTCATCATAGAAAGGGCTAGCATTAGTGCTCGCGTGTAGTCGTCGTCGTAGTAGTAGTAATAATAATAAAAATAATAGTAGTAGTGGTAGTAGTAGTAGTAGTAGTAGTAGTAGTAGTAGTAGTGGCAGTAGTAGTAGTAGTAGTAGTAGTAGTAGCAGTAGCAGTAGCAGTAGCAGTAGTAGTAGTAGTAGTAGTAGTAGAAGTAGAAGTAGTAGTCGTAGTCGCAGTAGTAGTAGTAGTAGTAGTAGTCGTAGTAGTAGTAGTAGTAGTAGTAGTAGTAGTAGTAGTAGTAGTAGTAGTAGTAGTAGTAGTAGTAGTAGTAGTAGTAGTAGTAGTAGTAGTAGTAGTAGTAGTAGTAGTAGTAGTAGTAGTAAGAGTAGTAGCAGTAGTAGTGGTAGTAACAGTAGTAGTAGTAGTAGTAGTAATAGTAGTAGTAGTAGTAGCAATCAGAATGATAGTAGTAGTGGTAGTAGTAGTAGTAGTAGTCGTGGTAGTAGTAAGAATAGTCGTAGTAGTAGCAGTAGTAATAGTAGCAGTAGCAGTAGTAGTAGTAGTGGGGGTAGGAAGAGTAGTAGTAGTAGTAGTAGTAGTAGCAGTAGTAGTAGTTAAAATATTAGCAGTAGTAGTAGTCGTAGTAGTAGTAGTAGTAGTAGTAGTAGTAGTAGTAGTAGTAGTAAGTAGTAATCGTAGTAGTAGTAGTAGTAGTAGTAGTAGTAGTAGTAGTAGTAGTAGTAGTGGTAGTGGTAGTAGTAGTAGTAGTAGTAGTAGTAGTAGTAGTAGTAGTAGTAGTAGTAGTAGTAAGTAGTAGTAGTAGTAGTAGTAGTAGTAGTAGTAGTAGTAGTAGTAGTAGTAGTAGTAGTAGTAGTAGTAATAGTAATAAAGTAGTTGGCGTAGTAATAATATAGTAGTCGTAGTCGTAGTCGTGGTCGTGTCGTAGTAGTTAGTAGTAGTAGTAGTATAGTAGTAGTAGTAGTAGTAGTAGTCAGTAGTAGTAGTAGTAGTAGCAGCAGTAGTAGTAGTAGTAGTAGTAGTAGTCGTGGTACTAGTAGTAGTGGTGATAGTAATGGTAGTAGTAGTAGTAGTAGTAGAAGAAGAAGTAGTAAAGGTAGTAGAAGTAGTAGTAGTAGTCGTAGTAGTAGTCGTAGTCGTTG